TTTAGGTCGGTGTTATCAAAATATTTCCTTTCAATGGAAAATAAATATGCATTTTTACTCGGGGTGATGTAGCTTTTAGTCAGGTTTAGGAAATGCAGTTTATGATTTGGTATTACTGTATGGCCAACAGCATTTTATAAAATTAATTAATTTTATGTTATCATTGCTGCTATATTCTGTGATACTAATGTTTTACGTTTTTCCAGTCAAATTTGATGAAGATAATTTCAGCGGGAAAAAAGAATATCCATGCTAATGGAAAGTCTTTTAAGTGGTGCATGATGCAGAGTTAATATGGATGTTTTTTTAATGATATTTATGATAAAATACATTTTTTCTGGTTAATATATATATATAATCAATATTGGATCATTCATTTGATAATACATTTTTGTGTTGTAATATTGGAGCTCACTGGATTGCCGTGTTTGTGTAGTTGCCAGTCCTCTGAGAAATCCTCATAAATTATTGAGAGTTCAACTGATTAATTTTTTAAAAAGATTCTGAACGAAGGATTTACACGGTGTAGTGAACTTGAATTCTGTGCTGCAAATAACTTCAATATCTTTGATTTAGTGTCTCCATTGGTGCGATTTATGAAGTTGAATTAATTTCAATTTTTTTTTTATAATAAAATTATTGGAATTTATTAAACCTTTTCCCTGTGATGAAAATTTCCTATACAGCTCATGAAAAATCCAATAATTTCTTGCTTTCTTTAATTTTTAAGATCAATATTCAGTGTTTATATTTTGTGTTTATTAGTATTATTATTTTGGATCAAATTATATTTGTATCATTTTCTTCGTCATTTGTTGAGTTTTCTCAACGCAGCATTTTATTGACTTTTAAAGCTCTTCCATATATCATTGATGTGTAAATTTTTTAACTTTTTGCCTTTTGTCAGTTTCCATAAGAATATTGACATTTCTAGTAATGGTGATACCTTATTCATATTACACCAGCAACACCAGATAGATTTCATCCAATTTTTGGCAATAACAATAGACAAAATGAAATTTGGGAATGACACACTAGAAAATATTGATTGATTGGTGCGTCAGGAAACATTGTATTAATATTGGGGTATATGTTACAGTGTAATACGTGTCTGGAAATGGTATGTCTAGCAGCCTGTGTGATCAGTTGCTTTCTCAGCAATTGTAACATTAGACCTAAGGTTGCTGATGCCAAAAGCATTTCCTTTCCAACTGTTTGACTTTCACTATGCTTGCCTTCTCGCTCATTGACAATTATCATGACTCAACTTCTTTTTTTTTATCTAACGTTACAGGAAAAAACAAGAGAAAAAGAAAAGCTGAAGCTTCTTCCATCGGTTGCCAAAACTAAAGGTAGGCGTGGATTTCAGATTCCCATGATGCTCTGTTCCTTGCAGTCAAATGGTTTATTTTTAACCTGATTCGCTCTACACAGAATTGTAGCTGGGTGTTCATCTGTCAAAATGTGTACAGCAGAGAGAGAAAAAAAAAATCTTCTCCTTCGCCATTGTGTAACAATTTCTAGCGACTATGCTTAATGGAAAGGAAAAACTGTTTTGTTAGTTTGTGATAATACTATATGCGACTCACTGCTGCGTGTATGCGTGTCTCTAGGTAGCACTATCCCTGAACGAACCCCCACAGTGAGATAGAATATTTGCCGTTTAAAGATACATCAACTGGCTTCCCAGAAAAAAAAAAATGACCTCCCACGGCTCATTATTAATAACGTGTTTTGCCTGCTTTTTATTCATTCCTTTCTTGTATTGAAGCAACACCGACTTTATCACAGATAGAGACAGCGGGGAGGTTACAGTAACCTATTGTACTGACTGATTTAATGCACTTGCCGTGAAATGAAAATCTTTGCTATCTCTGCATTTCCAAAGATTAATAATTCAAAGGAAAACAGAAAAAAAAAAGATAAAATTAAATTTGAAACTAAAGTCAATAGAATAGCAGGGAGCTGATCGATGTAAAATCCGATATAAAGAATTGACTATTCATAGGCACTCTTTAGCTCACATCAACTTGCTGCAGTAAGAATATTTATGATGTTTGGAGCAGCGTCTCATTTTAATTACATTCTTCATTTGTTCTTGTGTGAACCAACTTTGGTAATCGTCAAATGGCAATGTTAATGCATAACCTTTAATGAAATTATACTCTACGTTGGTTTTCAAAGCAATGAAATCTGATTAGCACTGAATGAGTGAATAAACACTGCTTTATTCGTCAGTTACAGATTGGTATATTTTTTTTATTCACTGAAGGTTTAATTATGGAGAAGTACCAACATGTTGTCTGTTTTTCATAGTTTTTGTATTTCGCTGCACGACGTTGAAAACTCAGTAGGGAATTAGGATTTGAAGTTCCGTTGGGTTCCTATTGGCTGGTATTTACCAGGATTTCAAAGAAATTGCACAGTTACCCCAGCAATTGTCAAGCAATTAAATTCAGTGAAATTCTCAAGAATTCTCATTCATCATGCCTTTTGAAATGAACAACATTTCCTAATAACTGATGTTGGTTTCATCTCAGTTTTATCCTGCCAATATTTGATTCATATTTTCCATCCATTTTAATTTGGACTGTTGTTAAATTTTGTCATTGTTTGGTTTCATGATATCTATTTTTCTCCCTCTGCTTGTCTCAAAAGATTATGCCATCCCTCATACTGTGTGTACAATTACTTGTCCACTTTAACTTCAGTGCTACACAAACCCAAATGCTCCAGCTTATGATACTCTTATTAGCAAAACTTCATGCTAAAATTACCCCCACTCTCAGCTCGTAATCCTATACCCTCAATAAGTAAAGATAATAGAAAATATGGGATTATTGCACTTTAATCATATCCCCCTCTTATTCTTCCTAATTATCGTGCTGTGGTCATTATCTTCCAAATTATCTCATGACCTTCTCCCTGCTAGAGTGGGGTCATTATCCCCCGGTCTCCCCCCATCATGTATTGTCTTTCTCCACATGTGTCCTGGATCGATGGAATTCCAGGATAGATGCATGATCATTATATGAGTGAGCTGGGATTTGTTTTTGCTGACTTTTTAATATGGCTCCATTATCTGAACTCCTTAATATACGACTCTCTCGTGCTCATAAATACATTTATATTATGTGGCTATTTAAGCGGATAATAATGGAGAGAGGGAGCAAGCAAGTTAATTATTTGTGCATTTAGTGTTAAAAGCCTTAATGAAAAACCCCTCTAAAGCTAGCTCTGTGTTGCAGGATTGGTGTCTTTTTTTAATTGTAACTTGCTTTTATTCGGCGTAATTTTTATGATAGCAGTTTTTATGGTCATGGTGGTTTATGTGTATGCCTTAAAAATGTTATGACTTTATTTCATGCTTCAGGCTCTTTAATTTGTTAGATGTTTATTATTGTCTTATTATTATTATTATCTATAACTATAAACCCCCCCCCTCTTTCTCTCTCTCCCTTCTGTCTGTGTCTCTCTCCCTCTCCCCTTCTCGTTCTCACTCTACCCCTCTATTTCTCTCACTATCTTTTGTATCCTCACACGCACCACACACATGCATGCTTTTTTTTTCCCAGATACAATTTCTAGCTTGACTTGCAGAGATGATGAGGACTGACATTGGCGTGCATATTCTTTTTATTGTGATTTATGAATATTAAAGCTTGTTCGTTTCTCTAAAGTATTTTGATTGATGAAGATTCAGTTTTTGTTTGAATGAGCGAGTGCAAATCAAAGCTTGCTTTGGTGCTGCTCTGAGTCTGTCGTGACTTCAGCGTGCACTTAGCCCCAGGCACCGAGTCTAATTCAATGTACAACTAAAAGCCGTTGCCTGCTCCAGAGAGAATAATAATAATTCTCTTTCTCTTTAGCCAGGTATCGGAAATTACATTTTTATTTTTTCTTCTTCTTTATAATGGTGAAAAGAAAGTTGATCCAGTCAACAAAACGGAGATCTCTAATTACACGATGAACTTCTTGTCGCCTTTGTTTGGTTAGGTCAAAGGTTACAGGTGGTGGAATAGCTGCACCATTGTTCTGGATTGCGCGTGGTGCGCATTGCTCACATTGTGCAGTGCCCCAAGGCTCACTGAATAAGTAACTTTTTCTCTCATTACTCAATATATATAGATGCCAGGTATACATACGGTTAGTCTGAATATAGAGCCATTTTATTGTCACTAATGTATATTCGCAGAGCATCCCTACACATCACATGGCTGTTGCTGATGGCTACAATCACTACCGATCTACTATTATTATTACAGGCAATTATATGCACTAACATAAAGACAACAATCAAAATGCTACGTTCCACATTTCCAATAATTTATTTATTTGGGCATTGATAATAATAATAATAAACAACCTTGTCTTTTATTTCATATGTGTGTATAAATCAAAACTTGTCCACAGGCTTAGAATAGATCAGACCAAGGTAATTTCAGTCTTTATATCATTAATGTATAGTGATTATTGTTACTTTATTCTGATTTGGTGGTAGTTATGTTGAATGTATAAGGTGTTATGCACATTTTGTGAATGCAGATGACCAAATTCACATATTTCTGGAAGTTTAGAGTCCCCGAATGAACTTCTGCATATTTCTGCATATTCTTGGGGTCCAGCCAAAACAGCACCCTACAATGCGTCTCTGTTCTTTGCCATCTCTTGAAATAATTCTATATTTTAGACATATTAATTATTTTCTATTATACTAGGTACCTAAACACGCATTCATACATTCACCTAGATAAACTGCTGTTGTGAAACTGTAATTCCAGTCAGTATATGACTGTTTGCCATTTGATTAGTGAAAAAAAAATTTTTTTAGAATAATCTTGGTTGTTGTTAGTATACTGATTTTCTGGGTGTGAATAATTTCATGGGTGGATGGGGATGGGTGAGAATTTAGATACGACCGATGATTTGCATGCAATTTATGACATAGTAGACCTTACACAAACATATTCACAGATTTAAAACCAGAATAATACAAAAATTAATGTGGTGTGTTAAAATGTTTTGTAAACATTATATACGACTTAAAAAAATCCCCCCAAAAAATGCAGAATTTACATTATATATTTAGAAATGAAGTTCATGAAATTACTTGTGTTTATCTCACTTCAATCTTACTCTTGGCAGTTATATACGAGTCTTTTTATCTCTTTACTCATTTAGAAATTAAGTCAATATATGCTAAGATATGCCGCTGATTCTATCATTATCAGCAGAATTAAAACTATGTGCATTTATTAATAGTACGCTGCTGGCTGGGGCAATGGTCGTCTAAAATCTGTGAATATTGAGCGAGTGAAAAAGCTACAAGCTTGTATTTGCTCACTGACCCTAGTAAAAGTATCTAGATTTTAAGCATCATTGTAGCGATTAAAAATTGAACACTCTTCGTCGTTGTCTGTTGCCGCGAGTAACGGCATCAGGAATATTTTCTGTAGGCTGGGATTCGCTTAAATTGTTTCTTCTTTTTTTCTGCTGCTGATAAACCGAACTGGAAAATCGAGTTAATTTTAATATGGAGATAAGAATCTGTAGAGCGTGCACAAAGATAAAGAATTAGGGTTAGATATCATTCATCTGATTACCCAGCATTTATAGATATCCTCAGTGTTTTTTTTGCGGAATATCAGCGTTCACTGTTGTTCCCTGGCAGTTAACTGAGAAATTTCAATAGATTTTACACACATGTTAAATGTGGCTTGTTTATTTTTTACACTCCTGTAAACTGTACAGTTTTCTTTAATCTCGTGGTGATCACTTTAGTCAGATTGCAGTGTTAATCTCATAATCCACTGTCTTCTATGCTGCTCTAATTTGTTATTCTGTGAGTGAAATTTTTTTTCTGAACATCAGTAAAGATCTAGAATATTTTCGCCATGCTGTGTAAAACACGAAACAGTTTTGATAGCAATGTTAGCAAGCACAAAATATCTCAACCACCTAAATTTGTGTTCATTGTATAGCCTTGACCACCTAACCTGGTATTCATTGTACAGTCTTGACTACCTAGCTCAGTGTTCATTGTATAACATTGACCACCAAACTCAAATTACGATTGTATAATCTTGACCACCTAACTTGGTATTAATTGCATTATCTGGACTACCTAACTCAGTGTTCATTGTATAGTCTTAATCATCTAACTCAAGAGTTCATTGTATAACCTTGATCACTTAACTTATTATTCAAACTGTGGGTTACTGATGCACGTCATTTGATTTGAAATGGTCAACTAACAGCCATTTCCCAGACATAGTGGGTTACTGGCAAAATGGCCAACAGTCAGCCATTTCTCAAGTTGGTTACTGACACATGTCATTTGATTCAAAATGGC